AATTCCTTGACAGCTACTACCACATCCCTGTAATAGGCTAAGTAGCAACTGCCAAATGTCCCAGCGCCAAGAAACTTCGTCGTCCTCACGACTAGCGATGGGTCTATCTCTCTGAGCTTTCGCCGCTCCTTATCTTCGTTGAGCTTCTTTTCCGCCGCTAACTTTTTCATCGCTTTCTTTGCGGCTTTTTTTTTGCCTCCACCTCTTTCGTGCTTCCTTTCTGATCTTTTTCAACTTATCTTTGTCCTTCACTGCCTCGCGTTTGTTCCTGGCCATTGCACAACACTTTTACCAGGTACACAATCAAGAGAAGTAATCGACAGAAAAGGAGACTGAAATGCCAATTTTCGAAGGCGTCGCAGGTGATCACACTAGCGCAGATATCAGAGCGCTATTGATGAAATCCTAGAAATGTTGCGTAAGTCGAAAAACCTCCGGAAGACGAGGTGTGAAAGACCTCCTTACAATGAAAAACGATCTATTGTGCTCTTTGAGTACAGTAGCAGTTTCAACGCTTGTCCATATTCAGCGCTTATCTCAAACATGGCATCTCTAGCTATTTACAAGACACGCTGCGACATATGCTCATCGATGTTCAACACAACAACTGCGCTACTGAGACATAGAGAATCGAAACATCGCATTGCTGCGCTCAAGGCAGAGTGGGCTACATTTGTCAAGTTGTACAATGGACAACAGATCGTACAGCCTCCCGCAAGAATAAGGACAAGGTCTATCAATTACAAACAATGGATAAGTGGCATTGTAGAAAGTCTTAATTCGTCCCTACATCCAAAAGCCGCTGGTATGTAATTTTTCTCTTTTCCGCTCTTATCACGCGCAAATAGCTGTCAAAATCAAGTTTAATTAGTAATGTGCAGTCAAAATGCCACGTCGCTCAACAAGTTTTAAGTTAAACCAGCGTCCAGTCAGGCGCTTCCGACTAAATAATTTAGAAGGGAACGATAAAGCTAACTGATTTAATATCTTCTCAAGAACATGTCCAAGTTGCAGAAATTAAAAAACCGTAGAAATTGAAAATGTTAAGAATTGGTGGTTCGTGTTAAAAATTGAGGAACACTTCTCATTTGGGATGTAGAGCATTGTCACTTTGCGCTGCCGGGTTGTTCACTGTGACTTACTCATTACTTTTATTACGTGTTCGCGCTTTTCTTCGACGAAATTGGGGACATAGGAGAAATTCACCCCTAAAAGAAAAATAATCATGGGCTCTTCTCGAAATTGGACACCAGTAATAACTGCGTACGAATGGTTGCGTACGACGCGAAGTTGCAGACTTTTTTTTTCTCTTTTCACAGTCAGGAAAATAATTCTGGTGTTGTACAGCGCGATTGTTACCATTACCTTGTCAAAAGACCTGCTTGTCTTAGATTTTAATACTATGGGAAGGTTTTCGAGGGATACCAATAACACGTGCAATTATGTGATTTAAAAATAACTCAGGTTTACGTTTAAAAAGAGCAAATCACTTAGAACATTTTACGACAAAAATAATCTAACTTTTGTTAATCATTTTGGTTTCAGGGAAATGGTGTCGAGTTGAAAGATATTATGTTCCTGAAACGTATATCCAAGCTTTGTTGGCAAGGATGCCAAATGCTTTTCTAAACAGTGCGAGAGAAAAACGGCATTTGCGGCCCCCTGTATGGAGAGAAAAATCCAAAGTTTTTCACTACAGGGATCATGAGGTCAATGATGTTATTTCTGCCCTGAGCCAAAGTTCTGTACCATTACAGTTAAAGAAAAGCTATCGGGGGGATACGGAAGTTAATGCGAGTAATGAGTTGTTAAACGCTCACCAAGCTTTACAGGCGGCCAAGGAAAGAGCAAGGGGCAAGAAATCAAGCACGATTCCCACCCAGCACATTGAAATTGTTGTTGGGAATGGAGAGGGAAGAGCAACCAGAGAATTTGAAGTAATTTGGTGGCCTGATCTTTTTTCAGGCACTAGACATGGGAAACTGACCCTGCGATTTTATGTTTCTAAAGTAATACTTTGATTTAGTGTAATAATAGCCTGCACCATGTTTTTAAAACATTTTCAATAATGTCTAATACAGTCTAGTTGACTTGTTCACCATGTTTCCGTAAATTTGGTGGCTGTTTCTTCGCAGTCTTTATCAGTTTGTTTAAAAAAAAAACCATAAATGGTGTTTTTCTTTCTTTAGAGAAACAAACTTGTCTGTAGAAAGCTAAAATTAAACCCGGAATACAGCAGAATGAATCTTTAATGCTTGCACAATTCATGTCTAGCTGGGCACACTATATTCTGATGCACTTCATTCTGCTGCAACCAAATTCACTGGATAAAAAAAAAAAATAAAAACATGTAAAAAATATTGGAGGGATAATATCTGGGGACTTTCACTATTTCTATGGTCATCAGGAATGACAGAATAAAGCAGTAACTGTTCACAGAATTCTTAGTTCACTTAACTGAAAGAATGATGAGTTGGAGGGAACTACACCTTTTTTTCCAAGCATCTCTAGTAATTCATGATGGAAATAATAATAACAACATTGATAACAATAATAATAATAATTGTTTATTAGTTATAATGATAATCATTATGACTATAATTCCTATAATTATTTCCATTAAAATAATAATTATTATTATCATTTATATTATTATCATTATGATTATTATCATTATGATTATTATCATTATGATTATTATCATTATGATTATTATCATTATGATTATTATCATTATCATTATTTCAATGTTTATCTATGAACTAAATGGTGTTTTTGATAGTCTGGCTGAGTGATTATCTAAGTGATTGAAACTGGGGCAAAATAAACTCGAGAATAGACAGGAAAACACCAAAATCTTTTCAGGACTGCATTTCTTGAGTTGGCTCACTGTCAAAGGTTTTGGGACTTCATTAAGCTAGTGCTATCTGTAGTGGACCCTGTATCAAACAGAGAAGAATAGCAGCTGAATTAGTAATAAGAATATATAAGGACAATGATAGCATTGATTGACCAAAGTGACTATGATTAATAACAGGTGATAGCTAGGTGACAAACAGTGAAAGCAACACACTTTTCAAAACAAAAAGAGCAAGCTAATACTGCAATCAGATAAAAATACCTGTCCATAAAGGACTAACAACATAGAGCAGAAAAAAAATAGGGACTGGTTCTGCCATCAGATATCAACAGTCCATGAACTGACCACCCAAGAGAAACAGAACAAGTTGGTGGTTCTGCCATCAGTGCATGCCATCCTCATTGAGCAACCTATTTCATTTCAAAGTGATGAACACAATCATAAAGATAACAATAATGATAATAATAACAATAACAAAAACATTAATAATAATCATAATTATAATAATCATAACAATAACAACAATGACAAAGTCCGTGTTAGTCTGGCCTCTACCCTGCAGAAAATACAGCTCACCGACCGAAGCTGAATTCTGTGTAAGAATTGTATTGCAATTGGTCATTGAGGCACTCAAGCCACCTCACCACGACAAGGTACGGACACTGAGGTGGAAAAAAGGGGTCTGTACCACTGCCTTCAGATAACAACAGTCCACAATGAACTGACTACCCAAGAGAGACAGAAGTGGTTGACATGTTATGCCAAAAAAAAAATAATAAAAATTATAAAAAAAAGATAGTTCTGCCATCAGATAACAACAGCCCACAATGGACTGACTACCCAAGAGAAACAGAACTGGTTTGTAGATACCAATCAAAGTTTATGTAAAAAATAATAAAAAAACAAAAACAAAACAAAACAAAGTAAAGCAAACAAAAGCGAAAAAAATAGAGCACAAATTAAATAACAATTAAATATTAAAAATAGTTCTGCCATCAGATAACAACAGACAGTGATAGTCTGACTACCCAAGAGAAACAGAACTGGTAAGTATAAAACAATCATGGTTTATAAAAGACTAGAACAAAAACAATAACAAACACAAAAAGAAAACAAACCAAAAAGTAATTTTCAAATTTTTTGTAACAGTTCTGCTATAAGATGACAACAGGCAGTCAGCCGATGGACTGACAACACAAGAGAAACAGAGGTGGCTTTAGGGTAGAATAGGTTGTGCACTAAGTCTCTTATGGCCAGGACTTCCAGCTTGGTCTCTCCACTTCAGAATCTGAAGCATCAAGTCTTTCCTGTGCACATCCATATTACAGTACTGCCATTGAAAGTTGTTAATGGACAAGGCACCATCAAATAATATATCTTTTGCTGCCATTATCACCCCAATACCACAACTTCCAACACCAATCATCCTAGAATCAACTGCTGTCTGACATGGCATACTAAAACGCTTAAATCTGTGACAATTGTGCCAAAACTTTGTTTGAAGAGCAGCATGACAGGGGTATATTTCTAAGAGCAATTCTAATGATCTTTTGACTGAGGAAAGGGCTATGGGAGGTGCAGTGGACTTCATTCCATCATCAAAATACATCTCTCTGCTGACTAGATCCACAAAAATCAATCCCCAGTGGTTGGGCAGGTAGACTGGCACCAATATTTGCTGGAGGTCATTGGCTTGTTTCAGCAGCTCTACAGTTTCTCTCAACTTCTGCCTTTGGAATTCTTTGTCATTTGACCTCATCCAATCATAAAACTCACTTGGAAAGAAGACAGTGAAACCCTTTCCAATTTCTCTTGCCATGTCTAGAAACTTGCAAATGCAAATATCTATGACAAAACTGTCAATGTATCGCTCCTCAACAAGATCCAAAAATGAGGTGGAATCGAGGTTCTTACTACTATGCTCCAGTATTGGTTGAGTGGCTGAAACATTCCAAAGGGCATTTTGCATCTGTACAAGTTCTTCGGGGCTGCATTTCATCTGGAGGAGCCATATAGCCTCTGCAGATACTTTGTGATGGGTGTACACGATTACACAGAAACGCCGCAAGACAGATAAGGCATTTTCAGAGAACTGCCCGATACCTTCAATCTCGATGCCACTAGGATTCTTACCAGCTTTTCGTTCATTGTTCAAAATTGTGTGAGCCCTCTGGATGTCAACTTCACAAGGACGCTCTGCTAGACAGAAGGGATCTGAAAAGCGCAGCTTCTCATAAAATGGGTTCAATGCAGAGGGAGATCTGGATGTTAATGGAGGAATGAGGCTGTAAAGGGCAGCTACTTCAGCTCTTGTTGTGGCCTTAGCCATTGCAGCTTGAAGTGCACATTGCTGTGGTATTGTGAGATCATTATCATCATCTTCAATAAAAATAGAAGTGTCACCAACAAGCTTTGGGGATGTTTGGCTGATGATGGATGCAGAATCAGGATGTTCATAACTCTTTGAGTGTGTGGAGTCAGCAAAGTTGAGCACTGAAGTGGATGACGGGTAGATGTTAGACAAAGTTGAGTCACAAATATCAAATTTAATTCGTTTGGGTGCTGGCTGTAACGGATGAATATTGGCATGTGAACTAACATGAATTCTGGGATGACAGAGATGTTTGAGATCATCTTGTGGTTCTGGAATTTCTATGGAGAAATGCTTTTCCCAGGACTCATGACAGTATTCAAAAATTTCACATGTTTTGGAATCATCAACTTTAGTTCCATGATCTTTGTCAAAACAATAGGTTAAGTAGTCAGTTCCAAACATTTGCTCAAAAAGATCACTAAGAACAAACACCCACGATTTCTTTTCTTCAGTCCATGATTTTAAATCGTGACTTACACTTTTCCAACCACATCCGCGGTAGGAAAATGTTTTTTTTCCTAGGAAAAAAAAGGATTAATAACCTGAGTGCTAATTCTATGTTTCATCATAATTATTTTAAAAGTTCACAAAGAGTAAACTAAAAAACTCACTGAAACAGATATTAAAAACTATACCCACCTACATTAATACAATTCCGTGCTTCATAGAATGAGTACCTCAGGGATAGCAGCATAGTTGCATACCAGTGGGTGAGGATTTGATTCACTGGAAAGAAAAAGGTGAAATTTTGACAGGTTCTACTGTCATCTAAAGTAGATGTTCATTAACATGTGCATGTTTCATAATTGCATACCCATCAAAATAAATGTTAATTAACTTACAAGAATGGCCAGGCCCAGATGCATCATGGTTTAATTGTTGCCTTAGAATACAACTGGCGATGTAGCTTGTGGAGGACTCAAATCCTTGCCCTGAATACTTATAGAAAGAGCGGAATTGCCGAAGAAGCATAGCACTGTGGTCAACAACTAGGTGTCCATAGTCACCAGTGCCGAGATGAGAACCAAACAGCTTCTTTAGCAAAAATCCCCACTCCTTGCACTTAAATGAGAAGACCAAGAAGATAAATGTGGAAAAAGTATAAGACTAGCTAAAGGGGAATAAAGTATGGTAATTGGAGGCTAGCAGTTTTCCTGAGTGTGTAATTAAGAATTATCAATTTGCTGGTGTAAGCTGAGTGCATGAGTTTTAAACCAAAAGCTAACACATATAAAAGCAAATGTATGTAAGTAGATTAAAATGATTTTTAAGGCATCCTCATTTCAGATAATTAGAGCTCTTACATCCATATTTGAAGCAATGGAAAGGCAATCGTTCTTAATGGTAGAAAAAAGTCACCTTCACATCATGAATGTCAATCTGTTGTTCTTCATGGTCTTCAAAGACTCTCTCACGCATTGTAAGAGCAATTTCTCTCCAATCACAGCAAACCTAGTATAAAAGGTTTTAGGCAATCACCTTCAAGTTAGCTCAGATATGAATTGGCTGTTATTAGTATCTTACTGCATCAGGCAAACCTTTAAATAACATTTTCTGATGTGGATTTTAAACATAGTACTTTTCTCATTCATTTTTCATTTGTGAATAATTTAGGACAATTTTCTCAACTTACCTTTGAAAACATCTCAATTTGAAGTTCAGCTGCATATTTTGCAAAAGAACTAGAGGACATTTGAACTTCTGGCTGTATTTTTCTCCCTCTTTTCCTCTTTTTCTTGCCTGGCTCTTCACCATTTGACATTTCCTCCAACTTGAGGAATGCTGTTTCCACCTCATTTTGTTTTTTTTTCCAATACTTTTCAAGTTTAAGCAAAAAGGCTTTAAGCTCTGTGAGGAATGGACACAAGATTCACTTAATTTGAATAGTTATTACATGTGAATTAACACCACTGAAAGCACCAATGCAAGACAAACAACAAAGAAGAAACAAAAAGGACAACAAAATGGTACTCCAGGTTGTCAAAGCTCAATTTTAGAAATAAATTGGAGAAATATTGTAGTTCACTGTGTGACAATGCAACTATTGATAGCATCTACAGTGTATGAGGTGTACTAAAATTAAGTTATAGGGAAAAACGGCCTCATGCAGCAGCCTTTACCTTTCGTGTCATCAAGATTAACTGTTTCCTCTGTAGAGCCATAATCACGTATGTAAGTTCCCCTGTCAAATAGGTCACTCACAAACTGCAAATCAAAATGTTGCATTTCTCAATTGGCAAAAAATTTAAAAATTATCAGTTAGCAACTCCTTATGACAAGGTTTTTGAAACTCTATATTAAGCTTTATCTTATTTTCAAGGCATATATTTAATTTTGACAGATTCTCAGTGGATTCAATCACACCGCAATTCNACGAGTCTTGGTTTGCCAACATGATGAGGTTACCAACCCAATTTCAACGGTCGTGTGGTGTTTAAAAAGGACTTGGATGTCTACAAACATTTTAATGTTTCACTGAGGACACAAAGAGCTGCCTGGCATCGATCGCAGGGCTGAGATTGTGTGGCTAGAGAATCGAAATGAAAGGTCAACCTTTGCCCTTGAATTCTGCGGTGGATTTGTGGCCATGGGTACATTTTAGCTTGGGATTTTTTACTTCTTTCGGGAGGCTGTCTGGACAGAAGTGTTCGGCCTTGTCTTCTCTTTAAGAAGAGAAACCCAGGATTAAAAAAAACCGCTTAAATCAAGTGAAATCGGTAAAATAACGACACCAGGAGCAAGCAACACTCGTATGGAATAAGGTAAGGCATTTTTATTTAATATTTTCACTTTTAACTATCTCTATGAATATTTTGTAGAAAATCCCATACGCAAATTGTGTCCCTTGTGTGGTTCTCAAAGAGAGCTTGGGCTGACTGTGGTCTAGCAAGCAATGGCATTGCAGCTAATTCAGGCGGCTAATTCACATTATCACCCCAGTTGATAAAACCAAATCATTTTGTTATACTCCTCCACCGACGCAGCACCACAGTAAATTAAATCCTGTAATTATCATAACATTGTAGCTCGTGTAACTCATATTAAGCGACGCACTGATTAAGCTATCTCGTGACACTGACAGGTTTAAATACCGAACTTATCAGGAGCGAACCTAAAACACCCTGAATAAAAGGGTCAGCGCTTGAGGCAATAAACAACTGTTGCTTCAATTCAGAGCGGCGTAGCCGTTTTCTGGCCTGGCGTGCTCTGAAAGTATAGCTTGACTGTGGAGCGGTTTCGAAACGCCCTTGATTTAGGCGTCGAAATTTGCATAAGCCGAACTACATTGCGTGTATCATAATAACGGTTTTGCTAAAGGTTTCCTCGAAACGTAGTGGGAACGGTTATAAAGAGTCGGCGTCTGATTCAATAGACGTTTTTAGGACTAGTTCGGTTGCTCCCGACAGTGTCGGAATTAAGTTCGGCTACTGAGTAGTTCGAAGTCTGAGTCTTAAGAAACCAAAATTCTTCGTGAGTTGATCGATTACGGTCTCTTTTTCGCTCCAGATGTCTCCTATGACCTCAAAATGTTTTAAAATTTATTTCTAAACAGTGTACACTAGCTTCCAACTCATTCGAAAGCCCCCGTTTACTTCTCAAAACGTACGTTTCGCTCTGGTTAAACACAGTCTGCAGCCTCAAGTTCCAGAGGCCAACGGATCTGTTGCAAAACTCTTTCGAACTGAAGCGGATGCAAAAACAAAATACGTAAAGCCGCACAAGAATTTAAACCAAAAAGTCACTGAAGGATTTTTCCTCGGTCAAACTTATGTAAATTTTGGAAGTTAGGTGTGATCATTCTAAAGGAAATTTATGATGCAAATCCTTTGTGTATGATAATTTGGTTATCATAGGAAATAGTTAGGTGTGATGGTGCGAAAGGAAATTTATGATGCAAATCCTGTGTGTATGATAATTTGGTTATTATAGGAAATAGTTTCTGAAGATGTAATTCTAAAATTATAACAAAAAATATTGCAATATCATGCACAATTGTTAGCCTGGTCACATTGAAAGAACCTATTTGTGCAAAAAATATATATTAAGACACATTTTCATACAAAAATTTGTATTTGTGTTATCCACCAAGCCTTAAGGTTTTGTGAAAGGGGACTTTTAAGGGCTCTATGATAGAATTACATGTAAGAAGATATAGCAATTTACAATAATGGCTTAAACAAAGAAAAGAACTGCACCACAATATAAAGCTAAACTGAACCAAAAAACTACCTCCTCATATATATACCACCCAGGATTAAATAGCTGACCCAGAAGGCATGGTGAATTAGAAAGGGAACCTGATGCAGAATCAACGACACCAGTATGACTATAGCTATAGCTCTGAGAAATCTCTGAATTATTCTCTATTGAACTTCCATGCCTGAAACTACCCAGTCATTTCGTAAAACTGTGCATGGATTTGTGATCCCATACTTATCCAGTGCAAATTAGGATTGTAAATGTAAACAGCATTTTTTTTCGTTTCTCATTTAAATCGATGAATATCTTTCCATTGCTGTGCAGTACATAATCACAACTTTGTGTCATCATTATGAAAATATCCATGTAGTTGCGAGTTAGCGTTTAGTATTATTAAGAGTTTTTTTTATAATTTTGAAGATTATTGTTTTGAACTTTTGTTGTTATTTAATTTTTTTCAGTCGCTGAATCTGTGGTGAAAATGAGGCAGTTTCTCAGTGATGGTAATGTACCGCTAAAGGTTGAATCATTTTCTGAGAAGTTCAAGAATGAAACAGCAAAAACCCCAGAGGCAAGTTGAGATAAATAGCCAAAGTTATTATCCAACAAATTTTTTTTCTCGTGCGCTATTGGTCAAAACATATCACGTGACCGAATACCTCCGACTAAAACAAGGGGATNTGCTGCAGGTCTCATCAAGGTGCACACAATCATCCCCAAATTATGATTCCTCATGAAATTTAAAATTGAGCACTTATGAATTTTCTCAAAGACAACCCTGCAAAGGGCCGGTTTACTTTACAGGTAAGAAAAAAGTTCACATGATCGACAGCCCATTGACACAGAAACAAAGTAATGAAAATAAAATAAGTCACAAAAGAATTATATTGAATGAATGCAAAGCCTCTATGATTAGCAGCTCACCCCACTCTTTCCTAGTCTAGTCAGGTTCAGCAAAGTTTGCCATGCAGAATCTGGGAGTCTTGTTAGGAGCTTAAAAAACAACAGCACCCAGTCTGGTACACGAATGCTTTGGAAGACATTTTCGAGTGTTTCTGGCAAAAGAAGCTCGGTCAGAACATTCTTGGAACCCTTTGATTTTGTAACTAGATCAACGACTTCTGAAATAATACCCTGTACTCTTTCCCTTTCCCCATCCGTTCCGTATAGGAAGCTGTTTCCAAGGACAGCTGCGATAGATTCATTGTACCTCTCAGAAACGTCGTCAAGGACAGCTCTTATCTCCCTGCACCTTTTAAGAATTTGTCGTTTCTTGTTTGTAGTTCCTAAATCAGATCGATTCTTAGTGTCCTCGATTGAACTGCACGAGGAACTGGACGAACTTAATGGAGTTGATGAGCAACATGGGGAATTAAAGGAAAAATTGTCGGACTCCATGCTCGATTCGAGATCGGAAATCCGTGTTTGAAGTTTCTTCAGTTCCTCTTCAAGGGAATTTACCCTGGCTGATCTATCGACAAGCAAAGAAGCGAACTCTTCCGAGTCTTGACTGAGCTTGGCGCCAAAAGATGAATTTTTCGCGCACTCGAGCTCAAAGTCTAGTGTGGCGGAGTTCACCAAATTTATGATAGCCATAAATCCCGCACAATTAATAAGTTCGTCGGGGATTGTTCTATTTCGAAGAAGACCAGCTACTAGACCGAACGTGGACACAACAGAAACGAATTCGGGAATCCTGTCCAACTCTACGACTCCGTTCGATGATTTGGCGGGCTGAAGTTCCCGCGCAGCCACACTATGGATTTCGTCGGGAAATATCTTAAATACGTCGCGTTTGAAAAATTTACGCGCAGGAACGCCACATACCTCTTTCGAAAGGAGATACCAATGCTTGCAAGGGTCAAGTGTGGTACTTGTGACCCTGCAAAGAATCTGAGTAATTATGTCAGCCGGGGGTAAGGCGCACGTCGACAATCCGACTGCCTCCATGACTTCACTTCGAATGGTTTCGAAATCGAAATCATGATACTTTTCAACTTTGAAAATCCCGCCGAAGTTTACTATTATAATATTAGTAAGAATTTAACCAGGATACGTAGCCAAGTCGTACGATCGCCACAGGTCTCGTACGAAAACAATAGGATCGTGTACTATGATCATAAAGCGTGAACTGTGGTCGATTCATTAAATAACGCGTACTGGAAATTAGATACGGTTGTTATTCAGGTCGTTCGACACATGAAAATAACGATATCTTTTGTTGCTTTTTCATGGCAAACCAAGCGAAAGAATCATACATAAATAATTGAAACAGGTATTGCCTCTTGTGCATCTCACAATCAACACGTATTACTTAAAGATCAGCAACCTTCATTGATAATATATTTGCAAATACTCATGCTATGAATGCCATCAGTGGTAATCTAGTCTCTAATCATCTTCCTCAATTCCTGATCGTACACAATCTCAGACTGAATTATTTCAATCACAATTTCATATTTTCCTTGGACTTAAAACTAGGAAGACTGGTAGAATCTCATTCAGTGACAGGACAACATCTGTCATTACTGATGGACTAAAGAATGAAGACTGTAGTGAGATATCTGATTTCACCAATGAACTTTAAGTCAAGTATACAGATAAATGCAAGGTTCTGAAAGCTGAATGCAATCTTGACACATTTTGAACATGAATCAACTAATATAAGGACTCAAGCAAAGACTAAACAATTGGATTGAGATAAGTACACATGAAGCATATTATTCTTGAACTCAAACTGTAAGACATGCAATAATAGGTCAAATGTGACATACCAAATCCTCAGTAGAATAGGTCACTACCTTGAGGTTACATGTACTGGAGTTACTTTTTCTGTGACCAAGAGGTTCTGAGCTAGTAAGTGCTGGTCTGGACACTCTGAACTACTGAGTTAAACTAACTAACTGTACTTCTTTTATAAGGAATCGAGCAATAGCAGGAAATTCTCTAGAATTTTGGAAGTTAGGTGTGATCATTCTAAAGGAAATTTATGATGCAAATCCTGTGTGTATGATAATTTGGTTATCATAGGAAATAGTTAGGTGTGATGGTGCGAAAGGAAATTTATGATGCAAATCCTGTGTGTATGATAATTTGGTTATTATAGGAAATAGTTTCTGAAGATGTAATTCTAAAATTATAACAAAAAATATTGCAATATCATGCACAATTGTTAGCCTGGTCACATTGAAAGAACCTATTTGTGCAAAAAATATATATTAAGACACATTTTCATACAAAAATTTGTATTTGTGTTATCCACCAAGCCTTAAGGTTTTGTGAAAGGGGACTTTTAAGGGCTCTATGATAGAATTACATGTAAGAAGATATAGCAATTTACAATAATGGCTTAAACAAAGAAAAGAACTGCACCACAATATAAAGCTAAACTGAACCAAAAAACTACCTCCTCATATATATACCACCCAGGATTAAATAGCTGACCCAGAAGGCATGGTGAATTAGAAAGGGAACCTGATGCAGAATCAACGACACCAGTATGACTATAGCTATAGCTCTGAGAAATCTCTGAATTATTCTCTATTGAACTTCCATGCCTGAAACTACCCAGTCATTTCGTAAAACTGTGCATGGATTTGTGATCCCATACTTATCCAGTGCAAATTAGGATTGTAAATGTAAACAGCATTTTTTTTCGTTTCTCATTTAAATCGATGAATATCTTTCCATTGCTGTGCAGTACATAATCACAACTTTGTGTCATCATTATGAAAATATCCATGTAGTTGCGAGTTAGCGTTTAGTATTATTAAGAGTTTTTTTTATAATTTTGAAGATTATTGTTTTGAACTTTTGTTGTTATTTAATTTTTTTCAGTCGCTGAATCTGTGGTGAAAATGAGGCAGTTTCTCAGTGATGGTAATGTACCGCTAAAGGTTGAATCATTTTCTGAGAAGTTCAAGAATGAAACAGCAAAAACCCCAGAGGCAAGTTGAGATAAATAGCCAAAGTTATTATCCAACAAATTTTTTTTCTCGTGCGCTATTGGTCAAAACATATCACGTGACCGAATACCTCCGACTAAAACAAGGGGATATTCCCCAATTTTCAAACCTTACTTCCAGTAAGGAAAACTCTGCGATTAATTTAAGATAAGAAACGTTGTGTAGTTGATGGAGAAGAAGGAACTTCAGTTTTTTTTGTTTTGGTTTTTTTTTTTTATCCATAAAATCGTATCAGAGAACACTGAAAAGTGGATATCCCACGCCGTTTCGTAAACATTTCCCCCGGTTTCCCCGCACGTAAAAAAAAAAAAATTTGAAGGGTATTAAACACAATAGCTACCATTTGGCGCGGAAATATGCACGGTATTTCTCATCGGACATTATCTGTTCCGAAATGCGGACAGTTTTCAGATAACGAAGCTCTTGGAAAACTGTGAACAAACACCCCAAAGGGAAGTTGAGATTGATAGCTACTAATCTTATTAATGTAAGAATAGTCAACACTCTCGTCTTCCCTCAACCACGAGCCTCGCTTTCAAGATGTAGACTTATTAAAAAAGAACTTATAAAGCATGGAAATACAAAATATACCCACGTTTGAATGGCAAGAATGTGGTACACGTCTCCCGGTTAGCTCAATTGGTCAGAATGCCGGATTGTGTTGTGCGGGAGGTCGAGTCCCGGCCGGACCAATACTCATGGTCTTAAAATAACTGAGGAGAATTTGCTACCTTTCTATATATCAAGAAATGGATAGATATTCTAGTCTTCTCGGATAAGGACGAATAAACCACAGGCCCCGTCTCCTGCAGGGTTAGGGATAAGAGACGTTAATTTCCCACGCACGAGATTTCTGTGTGGTAGATGTCCTCCCTGGGGTGGGTTGGGTGGGTGTTACACAGCCCCACTGAAACCAGCTGAATGTTGAACTGGGCTACCCTGTATAAATATTCGCATACGAATAGAGAAGGATGTGTTTTTTGTCTTTTCACTCGGAGCGTGGGATAAAGGAAAAATTTTTGACTCCTTCAGATGCTCTGCCAGTGAGCCACTGAGTTTCCTTGACTGGGTCATTTACCCTTTAGCTCTCATGAGTGATCA